ATATATATAAACAGTTCCCGTGGTAGAATGATTTTGCTGAATAAAAGACAACAGCAACAATTCACCTGGATGGAAGGACCTCGACGGAGTATGAAGCGGATAAAAACAAACTGCCCTGAACGGCGATGTCCAAATTTGGTCACTAACACATTTGATCAAGCACCGCTTGAATGCATTCGCTCGCAAGACTGTTAGCTGGCTGGTCAGTTGGGTAGATGCATGAGTCTCAACTTACCCAAATTCAGTCCGGTCGAGTACAGACTGGAATTCAACAGTCGGCTGATCAGCTGATCCACCGGGCTGGACACATAGGTCTCGTGACATTCGTCGGAGACAGTTTTCGAATCTGTGTGCTGTTTTGATGCATGCGTTTCGGAATCAAAGCCACGATTTGAGGGTTTTTTCATATCCGTGGATGAGGATTGACTAAAACGAGAATGAGTGGTGGAAAATCAAATGTACTGGGTTCACCCTCCCCTCTCCCCCGCCACACACACACACACAAACTCGAGTGGTCAGGGAAAACGAAAGGAACCCCCCCCCCCCCGTAATCCCGGGTGACTAATCCAACGTCAAATGGTCACGTCACTGATTGTCCATGATGGTTAAAATCTCATTTGTGGAACAATCACTATGTATCCGATTTCGGCAAAACATTAAAACGTTTCAAACAGTGGAATATAATAAGACCGATTTCACCACACGTGTACCAACTTTGCTTGATCGAATTCAATGAGTCATAGGTTGATCCAAACTGTTAATTGGTTTTGACTGTTGTGCTGGACTGTCATGCTCTGTCGCGTCGATATTCAGCTTGACTGAATGCCTGTTTGTGTGCATGTTGCCTAGCGAGGTTTACATATCCCCCGAGCCGAATCTCTTCGGTTCTTCAGACAACTAACCGGGTACCGCTAGTACACCATCAGAGTAAAACAAATATATACACACCTGTTCGACTAACTATACTTTACCGGTGACATTTTACCAGGCACGTAAGTTTGGTTGGGTGCTGGATTACATAGGAACAATCAGCTTTCCTGTAAACGCCCGGGTTTTCGAAACCGTTACACTTTGAAGCATGAGACGCAAATGCACGAGCGGAGTATGAAAACATCTTACCGCTTCCCCACAATTTTTTCATTCCTGTATTTAAAAAAAAATTAATGTGCATTGAAAAAGCCCGGGAGTGGGGTGGGAGTTTTTATCCGAAAAACTTGATAACACAGGTTCAGAGCACAGGAATTCGCATCACTTGCATCACTGTTTAAGGAATAATGCTCATTATGAAACAGAACACAAATAAATCATTTGGATCGTTTTGTTGATTGTAATTATTACTGGCATAATATCGGAACAGGTAGGGGGTGGGAGATTTGTTGGTCAGAAATATGATGACCGCCTATTGTGGTATTCAAACTTTCCCTATCTCTTCCTAAAATAGTTAACGGCTATCACTCAAAAGGTTTCGGCCCCTCACGTTTCTACTATTCCCAACCAACTTCGGTCGCGATCAGCTCAGCTGTCATCTGGCTCGATAATGGAGGGGGGGAGGCTGTTCTAATGGATGTCTGATGCAATTCACTGCTTCACGCATTAAGACATAAGATACTGTTTATAACAAGTGAGCCATATCTACCTCACGTCGTTTGTACACTAACTATTGAATCTATCAAGTGAAGACTCGATGAAACTCTGGTAAACCTCACATTCCTACACACTTAAAAATGAAACGAAAGTTCGTTGAAGACTACATTATCTATCATCTCCTATCTGGAACTGTATGTGATTGTTTCCACTATGGAACGCGTCAATAGTGTAAATATCCTATTGGGACAAGAGAAGCATGAGCTTGTAAGTAATTCCCATAATAAAATTTTGACTTTTACAATGGTAAACCCCTCACAAAACTCTGTTAAATTAGTGGTATACTGTGCTAATGAGTTCAACCACCAGATTAAGCGTGCGTGGGTTCATTGGGTTGGATATACGATCAGCGAAAGCAATAGTGATCCACGGATGAGAAACTGTCCCATACTTACTGAAAGAACTTTACGTCAACTTAGCTCTCCCGGATAACCTGTATGACTAATCACTCCTGGGACTTTGACCCCCCCCCCTCTTCTAATGACTTAGCGTACTCTGAATTTTAGATCGTTTAATTCTCCCCCGGTAATTAGAAGTGCAAATGCACGGAATTGATTCCGGAAATACATTGTGCAATATCGTGATTTTGTGTATACTATTCTTCCAGATAAACAGCTACATTGAAGATGGAGAAGCGTAATTTCTCCAGACAACCAACAACAAAATGACGGGCTAGTAAAGGGTTTTCAAATGAATTATAGTACCGAAAGGAAGTTATTGCTAATAAAGGACAGAAATCGTGAATGAAAAAATCCGCCAGAAAAAAAACAGTATTGACCGGCCAGTGGAACTCACCCCGCCGAGGACAGAGTCCAGATTCTCTCATATATTTCCAGTGCCCCTATTTCGATCAGATGGTTTCCCACTGCCTACCAACGGGAAGGGTATATCCATATTTACAAACATACCATGAATGTTTGTCGTTAGTTAACGTAACAGAAGTTTCCAGCCTTTGTAACCCAAAATCCTATATTACTTCAGTGGTTTAGTCGCTGTCACCGGTATGCTTCGGACCCTATGGTCTGAGGTTCCAGCTCCGCCACCGTCACCCGACTTTGGTGGTATTCAGCTCTTCTGTCGTCCGGTTCAATNTTCGCCACTCCAATTCCCGGGCCTTAGGTTGCCCATTTCCACCACTGACCGGCAGGTCCTCGTTACTATGGGGTTCACCTCGTCTGCCTTTCATCACACGTGAGTGTGTAATAAAAAGTGCCATTTAGGAAGCTGCCTATATGCCCGTATCTGAAGTCAAATTCAAACGTTTATTATGGGAAATACTTACAAACGGTTGCTTTTCTAGTCNCCAAAGGACTTGGCACAGAAGAATCGGTTCACAGTTCACATAAAGTAGATGAATGTCACAATTTGTTATTTCTCGTGCGCTTCTACGGATGTTGAAATTTAAGATTTTTCAAAACTTCATCCGGTTTGTGCTTCAAGAAATCAATTGTGGGCGCAGAGACAACGTGTGGTGGTAGAGAATTCCAAGTAATGCACACTCTGAGGGCGAATGAATGACGCCGGCATTCTAGTCGGCATTTTTGGAGCACTAGTTTGAATGAGTGCCCCCGCAGCTGAGTGTTGGGTGACAAGGAAAGGAGTGGACGACATGGATGGTCTGGGTTCTGCATTACTTGGTATACCAAGATCAAGTTTCCTCGAATGCGGCGATACTGTATGGAGTACAGTTGCAGCGATTCTAGTCTTTCCGCATAGCTCTTGGAATGCAGTCCTTTGACTATTTTGGTGGTCATTCTTTGTGGACGTCACAGAATCTTCCGATCGCGTTGCAGCCATGGATTCCATGCTTGAATAGCATATTCTATGTGGGGCCGAATGTAGGCTGATAACAGTCGTGGGAACAGCGTAGGTTCAAATTTGGCAAATACTCATTTTGGCAAACTAACGTGTCTTACAGCGATAGACGACGCCCTGGAGCAGTGTAAAGAACAGCCTAGGTCGTCTTGAACAGTGATGCCGAAATTCAGCTTCTGGCCAGATATTTCATTTAAGACTGGGTTATGTGCAACCGCGCTGTACTAGTGAAATCGAAAACCATTAACAGATGTGAGTAATGTGGATTCGTAGGCCAACGCGCATGCATTCTTGCAACATTGCAATAATCACCAGGGAAGTGGAGATTAGATGGTGTAGCCCGTTCCCATCATCGAAAACCAGTTGCCTTTAACTATGCATTTTGCTCTCTAAATGCTTTGTTTTCCCCATATAGTTTTCATTCCATTCCTTATGCAATGCATTTTAGCCTCGTACTATGAGAGACCCTAAAGGTAGAACGACCTTCCGATAACTGTCTAGCAAATGACTACTTTATTGTTTGTCAGTAGTCAATGTAGATGAATTCCACCGTTGGTACGCATGTAAAGGCGTTTCGCACGAACTTTATGGACAGACCTCTCAGTAGCAAAATTCAGCATGAAAAGTGTAAGATAGGTGGATTTAGGAATATCGTAAAACGACCTATCCGCATTTTTCTATTCCTCAGCTATCTAAAGCAAGTTGAGCCAATATTGGGATAGCCACAATAGCCAGACACCGGAACTATCAGATAGCAGTTTGAGTCTGTTGGGACTTAGATCAATGCTATTCGTCCCAAGATAAGTACGGCTGCATATTTCCTAAGACTGAAAAAAATCGAACAAATTTACAACACATTTGACCCTAATTAGGTCACCTCGGATCAATACTAATCTCGCGGACATTAATCAATAATATTGCGTCGTACAGCAATATTCACTCTGTCCGTCCGTCAGTTTGATCCGTGACCTATGACCAGTTGAACTTTGCTCACTGTGTACTTGATTGGTACAATCTTTTTCTTCCATTAATCGATGTTCTTTTGAGTTACATATAAGCATCGGAGTAAAATTTGCAAATTGACTTGTGATTTGTGACTTGTGTTCAAGGTCATTAAAATCCCGTGCTGCTGCAGCCGTGCCTTATCTCTCGTGTTTTGGGAAACCTGAGAGATCGATAGTCGATCGTGCGTCCTGTGTTTCACCTAGGTAGCATCCGCTCCTAGAACTATCATTCGTTCACGGACTTAGTGCTAGTCCGCTGTTCTCGTGTTTCCTTGAGCTACTATAGTGTTCTGTTCTTTGCATTTGTGGTGTTCTCCTGCAATATAGTGCTGTGCGACCTAATAGTAGGCAACGGATCTAAGCGGTGTAAGACATAAAACGAAGTTGTATGAAACACTTAGTAAAAATGTCGTTTGTGGATAATAAATGCGTAAAATATAATCAGTTGGATTGCACAACCACAATATGTTATATCATCGGAACCGCTAATTCAAGTTTCCAATTTTTTATCGAGCTAATGTCATCACACTCGACCCTTTAGGTAGATGAGTAACTCAGTTGAAACACCTCCACAACAACCAAGGATGCGAATTATTTATAATGATGTTAACCATTTTTCGGTAAACAAGGATAATTTGTAGAAACCAAACCTTGACCTCGAACCACAGATAAAAGCCGCATATTTCGTTGGTTTTGTGCTAAGACAGAGCACACTTTCCGGTATAGAGCAAATCCAGTTAGACTATGGTTACTGGAGATTCAGGTTTTACCTAGTTTCCTACGTGTTTTGGTCACCATTGGATCCAATTGCTATTTGGCAGCGATAGGATTATAACGTAAAAATAAACATTTCTCTCGGCTCCTTGAGTCGAAGATCTTTCGCCAATTGTGTTGCAAAACATGACCAACGGAATATTTCTAGTATTTGTCTTATTAGAATAACC